CAGTTCACCTCGGTGGCATCGTCCCTGACGAGGTTGTACGCCTCCCTGCACGCCTCCTTGTCGATTTTGGTGGCCATGGAGGCGAAGGGGAAGGGAGGGGGAGAGCGGAGCGGCCGCGGAGTTGGGGGACCGCCGCCGCCGCTGCAGCCGCACCTCGCAGAGCCGAGCCGAGCAGAGCCGCGCCGAGCCGAGCCGAGCCCAGCCGAGCCGAGCCCCGCTCCCGAGGCCGTCCCGCCTCCGCCGCCGCCGCCACCAATGGCTCGGCTGGTCCTGCCCCTGCCCCCCCAGCCCCGCCCGGCCCGGCCCGGCCCCGGCGCGGGGGGATCGCGGTGATGCAATAGAGCCCGGGCACGGGGGGCGCCGCCGGAGGGGCCCGACCCGCCGCAGGGATGCCTTTTGCGGCCGCCGCCGGTTTTCCAGCCCCCCGATGCTTTCCCAGCCCCTGACGGACGGGAGGAGGAAGGAGGCAGAGGCGGCGCCCGGGATGGAGCAGCCGCCGGCGGCGGAGCCGGGCCGGGCGCTCGGGAGGTAGCGCAGAGCGGGGCAGGTGAGCGGGGGGAGAGGGGCTGGCGGGCGGGGGCGGCTCCGGGCCGGGGCTGAGCGATGGGGGCCGCGCCGGGGCCGCGGAGCAGCGGGGACCGCCGGGCCGAGCATCCCGAGCATCCCGAGCATCCCCGCACCGCCGCGGGGGAGCGGGGAACAGCCCCGGCTCTGTCCCTGCGGGTGTCCCCCGACTCGAACGGGGCCTGGGGGGGTGACTCGGCGTGGGGACACCCCGCTGCTGGGTCAGGGGTGTGCGCGGGCGCTGGGTCTGTGTGTCTGTGTGTGTCACTGTGTGTCTGTGTTCATGTCTGTGTGTGTGTGTCGGTGTGTCCATGTCTCTGTGTGTCGGTGTGTTCAGCCCGTTTCAATGCAGCGATCTCCCCCTGCCGGGCTCCCAGCGCTGCCCATGAACATTCCCGCATCTCCCCGAGTCACTGCGCTCCTGGGAAATTCGAGCTGTCAGGCGGAAGCGTTGCCTTAAGGCTGCGCTTCAGTCCCGCAGAAATAGAGACAAGGCTTTGCTTTGCTGAACCCGGCTGGAAATAAACATCACCAGATGATGTTGTGCCCAAGGACCGGAGTTTTACAAACCAGCCCTTGGGCGTGTTAGTGGGTTTCTAACCCTAAACATGGGGGTCTGGATTTGCAAATTCAATAAAAACTACATTCCATGATAAAGAAGCATCGCATTTTTTTCTCTTAAAGTTTGCAGGGGATGTTCGTTGTTTATTTCACATCAGCATTTTCAATGTGAAGGCTGAGCAGTGAGAAACCTCATTACCACACAATTACTGATTGTTGTCAGACATCTCGGGGGACAAGATCTCCAGAGCAGGCATTGACTGTCAGAGACACCCTTTAGTGCCACAGTCCTGCACGCAGCTTCTTCCAGCTCCATTCCAGCCCCTGGATGACGTGAGGCTCCTGGAGCACCGGGGCCAAAACACATGAATTGCTGCAGTGCCTCTCTGATGTGGATGAGGTCATAGGGAAGAGAGAAATATCTCTGAAGTCAGTACAAGTGTAGGACACTGGGTGAATCACACTCAGTATCTGTAGGCTGCAGGCTCTAGATGATAATATAATCACACATTAATAGTTCTGAATTTATATTGATCTTCTTTTGGAACTGTTTTTAGGAACACTTTCATTTTTTTAAAAGCCTTTATGCTGGCTGCTCCTAAACATGTTTTTTGTAGTCTGCATTTATCATCCATTGGCACTTGCTGCTGTTTATACCTGTAACAGCTGCTGGTTGTCCTTGTTCCCTTCAGGCTTGATCCTCAGCTCCTGATGTTTCCTGGAGCAGAGGTGGGTGACTCCAATGTCATTCCCCTGAGGAGGAGAAAACCTCACCCTCGTGCAGGTCTCTGTGACCCAGTGACTGCAGAATTTGAATTCTCTTCACTGGGGACTTTGTGCCTCACGCTTTTCAGTGCCAGACTCAAACCTTAGAAAAATACATATCTTCCCTGTGGGACCAAACCTCTTCTCTTTGCTTCTCTTCCCTATCTTTGACACTTTTTCATGGATTTTTTTCTTTTAAGGCATGGAGAAATAAATACTGTGCTGAGTTTCGTCAGGCAGTAACTGGAGAGGGAAAATTACCTACATTTCTGGCTTTGGTGAGCTCTGATTTGCTTGTCATATGGGAATTTTAATATGTCCAACACATAGGTCTTTTCATCTGTGCAGGAAGATGTCACTGGCCTGGCAGAAGCATCTGTACATCTCACAGGAGCCCTCAGAGAGGAAATACAGACAACAGAGAAAGTGAGGACTTATGGACTTCCTAAAAAAAACATCTCCAGCAGGCATGAAGTCTTGTGAATCTGGAGGACTGACCTTCAGCTGTCTAGGCTGTACAATGAAGTTCAGAACACTTGGAGGCAGCTGAGCAAACAGGGTGGTTCTGCACAGCCAAGGACTCCCAGGAGTCTTATCTTTATCCTAAAGTGCACCCCTGCTAGTGCCTTGCACCCTTGGCTCTTTGCCATCTCCCCTTTTTGCTTCTTTTCTGATCTTTCTGTCTGTCCCCAGTCCTGCTTCTCCATCTGTGTCTTTTCTGTGCAGGAGCAGAGAAATTAATGGAGGGAATAATACCCTCTGTCAGGAAGAGGCTGATGTGAATTTTTGGATCATGGTTAGCATTAGGGTTTACAATTTATGGATCACAGCATTAGGGTTATCAAGCAAGTAGGATTTTACTCAGACATTCGAGGTGTTGAGGGTTCTTATCCTGGGTCCCCACAGTCAGAAGGGCTACAGAAGCGGAGAAAATGCTTCTCATGTTCAGACTCAATAATCAGTGAGATGAGTAGAAGCCCATCATCACCTCTGGTTCCTCAGGGGTGTCTGAGGAACATGCAGAATTGCCTGGTACCTGCAGTGGAGGTGGGATGAGGCCAGGGCAGGTGGAGGTGCTGACACCCAGGCAGCCCTGGCACACTCCCCTGTTCTAACACTCCATACACATCATCTTCTGCCAGCAACAGCTGCCCCGTCACCACCTGGGACACGTGTCCAAGCTGAGCTGTCCTTGGTGACAGCACACAGAGCCTGGACACACACAGCCTTCTGCTGGCGATAACCTCTGGAGGATACCCAGGAGTGCTGAGCTGGCAAAGGGTTTTTTCACTTGTAGTGTTGTGTTGGGCACCATTGCACTGAAACGGGACCAGGCGGGTCTGAGTACAGTGTCTTTGCTTCTTACTTCACCTCTGAGACAGGGGCAGCCTCATGTTTACCAAGGCGTTTTTTATTCATTTTTAAGCCTCCTGGGCCGTAAGCAGCAAGGAAAAGCCCCCCAGCAGCACATGCTGCTGGGGAGGTGCGTTTTCGAGGTCAGGCAGTTTCATGGCCAGGTAAGCAAGAGGAGATGGAAATGGGGCTTCTCGCTGCACCTCACTGCACACCCCCACACCCACCGCAGAGCTCATCAGCGCTGTAAAAACGCACATTTGCTCCCCGCAGCAAATGCCCATGGCACGGGTACCCTCGGCCGCCCCGTGGGTACCTGTGCCTCGCCTTGCAGGCAGGGAACAGCCCTGGGATGTGCGATCCGCGCATCCCCCTTTCCCAGGGCAGTGAACAGCCCCAGGATGTGCGATCCATGCATCCCCCTTTCCCAGGGCAAGGAACAGCCCCGGGGTGTCCTGTCCGCGCATCCCCCTTCCCAGGGCAAGGAACAGCCCCAGGATGTGCGATCCATGCATCCCCCTTCCCAGGGCAGGGAACAGCCCCGGGGTGTCCTGTCCGCGCATCCCTCGGCCCGCAGCGCATCCCCTCCCGCGGGTCCCCGGCGCCTCCCCCGCCCCGCCCCGGAGCCTCCCCCGCTCCTCCCGGCCCCGCTCCGGTCCCGCCCCTCCGGCATTTCCTGCCCCGGGCCCGGGGCGAGGGAGCCTCCGCCTGCTGGAATTTATCCCTGCTTTGTTTTCCCCGCTTTTTTTTCCGCCCGGATTTCCCCCCCCCCCAGCCGATGTAGCCGCCGGAGCGGGGCCGGGGCCGGTCGGTCAGCGCGGCCCGGGGAGCTCCGGCCGGCCCCGGGCACCAGCGGTGAGTACGGACCGGCCTCGCTAACACCGCGCTGGGCTGGGCTGGGCTGGGCTGGACCCGCCGCACGCCCAACTTGTTGACACCACCGACCTCTGCCAGCACCGGGGAGCAGCACCAAGGGGCGAAAAAACTGTAATTTTTAAACTCGGGCATCCCCAAGCTGCAGATTAGAACGCGCCGGTCTCGTAATTCGGCACAAAACGGAGGTTTTTTTTAGCGGTCTGAAGGGGCTGGTACAGTGGTAACATCTCCTGTGCCTTTGTTGCAGGAGTGCTGCGGCTCGGCCGGTCATGGAGGGAACCCGGCAGAGCAGGATCTGCCGCCCGCACAAGATCAGCGAATCCTCAAAGGTTCGTACGATTTGTGTTGCTACCAAAAAATTCCAGTTGCAGTAAAAACAAGGAGGGGCGGGGGGTGGGTGGGGAGGTAGAGGGTCTCCTTTGGATGGGCTGATTTTTTGAGGAATGTGAATATTCTGAGCTTTTAAAAAGAGGTATGGAAGCGGTGGTTTACCTGCTCAAATATTTTTGGTGGAAGAAGTTGCTGCCTAGTAACTGAAAAAAAAAAGGCGCAAAAAAAAAAGCAGCAGCAGCAAATGGGCATCTGCTCATCGTGACTCATAGCTTAGAAACCCACATCATTGCAGCACAGTAGTTTCTCTGTACCAAAAATTCAGTCATTAAATGCGATGTGTTTATTTGGGGAATTTTTGTAATTTTTGTACTGATCCGTCTCGTAAAATCCAAGCTTGTTAGAGAAGCAAAGCTGAGATTGCTCCTTAGGTTCAGTCTCGATTTTGTACGTGATGGGAGCCTTGATCCTGCAAACAGTGAGCTCATGGAATTGGTGGTAGTTTCTTAGGCTTGTGATATCAATTTTCTTTGTATCAAATCTGTCTGCACAAATACATTGTTTTTATTTGTGAATTCTCAGAAATCCATCTTAGGCAGCTCTTTATGCAGGTCATCAGGGTGATTTATCAGATGTTAATATCAGCTGTAATTGCCATGTTCACTGTGTTTCATACCAGTGCAAGCTGCTTTTCTGTTGCAGTGCAAGCTCTGGATAACAGGAGCTGCAGAGCAAGGACTTTGTGCTGCCAAAAACATCCGGAAAAGAGAAACTTTTCAGTGCCTGTGTCTGTCTTATCAAAGTTGAATGAGCCAGATCTCATTTTCTTTTGCACCACTGATGAGCAGCAGTACTGCATTAAGAGTCTGAGAGAAATTAGATCTTTGAATCCAAAAGAAGTTAAAATACTGCTCTAATACAATTGATAAAAGATAAATTGGACTAATTTTTAAATGCATCCCTACCAATCTAATCTTTCCCTGAGTGCTGGTCCTGTCTGTCACTTAAATGGTTTAGTCTGAATGTAATGATAATTCATCACATTAAAAATTAATTAGCTTGACAGCATTGTTTTATTTTCTTGCTTAGACAGCAGCTGTCACTATCTGTTAAACTTAGAATTACTAGATAATGCTAAAGCTGTTCTAGAGAATATAAATAGCTTGAGAGAGATGTTCACGTTAAGTGTAAAATTAGTCTTGGTTTTGGAATGTGCAGCTCTCAGCTCCTGTAAGTTGCTCCCTGAATGGACTTGCTAAGTGGCTCAAATATGTTAATGTATTCGAGTCCATCCAGTGCCAGGGGTGATGGTTCCATGCCTGATTTCTGAAGGAGCAGCAGTTCTACGTGGCAACAAGGATTTCAGGAGCACAAGTTGTCGGGAGTATTTGCGGTCAGGATTATGCTGCTGACTCAACATCCAGCTCCGTAAATAGGGATCTCTGGCAAATCTTATATTCTGGTGTAATCTTGTTAGGCGTGATGGTGGTATTACAGAATATTAGAGGGAAATGATCAGCCAGTTTCCAGGGATGAGAGGGAATATGGTTTTGGTTCAATCCAATAACTGTCCCCATGAGTCTGATTCGGGAGAGGGGGCTGCAAGTTGTTACTTATTGTCTGTTCCCCCACTGTCCTTGATCATAGTTGCCACAGAAGTGTGGTTTATCCTCTGCCATATTTATTCTTCCTCCTACCTTCTCCATCCTCCGGTTTCTGCTTGGACTTCTGTACAATACCAGCTTTTCTCAGCCTCAGAAAAACAAATAAAAAACTTTACAGTCCTTAAACCTATATTTTTTTCCTGTTACAGATCCCTGGCAGTTTTATTCCTCAGTGGAAGCTACTTTGTTGTCCATGCCATAGATCCCTTTTTAAGTTCAGAGATATGATGAGTATATGGCAATTTGAAGAGTTTTGACCCAGAAAACTTATAATTATTGAAGCCTCTTTGCTTAGATTGGTTTAACTCTGCACACTTGCATGTCCAGAGTCACTCCAACAGCAGGATTTTTGGCAGCTGGGACTCCATTGTTTAGAAAAGAACATAAGGAAATACAGAGAAACCACTGGGATGCCACGCTAAGAGCAGCACATTTGGTTGTTAATTTGGGTCTCAGAAAGACCCCTTGGCTCTAGGACTCAAGTCTTTTCCATCCAGCTGTGTATAGAGGGTCTCACCCTGATTTAGCCAACCTGTGAATGGCCTAGACAGACAGCAGTGATCATGTGCTTTCTGCTTGGAAAACCAGGAAAGCCACAGATATAATTAGGATTTCTAGGAGAAGCAACAGTTTGGTGGAGGAAAGGTGGAATGCCTGGGAGGCTTGAAGAGACCTCAGGTCACCTGTGGGACTGTGTTCAATGTGGATGTGGACTGAGACACCTTTTCAGGGTGTCACCTCTGGGAATGCAGCCTGAGGGTGTAGGACTGGGCAAGACCCAGGACCCTGCAGCCAGGACTGTTCAGAGCTGACTTAGGTTGGATACAAGGATGTGCTTCCATTCCACCTCCTTTCATTTCTCCTACATGTTCTTACAGGCTCTGCAACTCTGCCTAGTTTGGATTTGGTAATTAAAGTTATGTATTTGCATTTAACTTAACCTGGCTTTTATTAAGAGAGGTCAAAAGGTAACTGAAGCATTTAATTCCTCCAAAGGATGGTCCTAAAAGTAACAGCACTTGACATGCTGGGGTGACCAGCCCCTTGGTGTTCTGCAGGACATTTGAGGGATAAAATGTTTCCATTTTAGTTCATCTTAAGGCTGAGAAAGAGAGAAAGAGATAAATGCTGGTTGCCTAAAAAGCTCTGTGGCACGTCCAGAGCTGGTGGGAATAATGTCTGGACCAGAGGGATCCCAAGAGGGCACTTAATGGATGTGTTCTGAAGGCATTTTCCCCTTTCTTTAAAAGAAAAATATCTAGTCATGTTCATTAAAACAAACCTACCTCAGCTTCTGGAAGCAAGCAGAATTCTTGTGGGAATGAGTTATCCACATGTGTGGCTTTGCACATAAATAAACAGCTATTGCTTCTGAGTGCAGTGCATGTGCCTGGAATAATATGGAAAGAAAGAGGGGGATTTTTTCCTAGCAAGCTTAGAAATGCAGAGTTCTGGAAAGATTTAAGAGGGGGTAGCTGTCAAGCACACACCAACCCAAACAATACACAGGCAGAATGAAAATTCAGAGTACTGCTGCATGTGTCTCTCCCACTCCAAATGTTTAGCGAGTAGCTTAGCTGAGGGAACTCTGTAAGGAGTCATTTGGGGGACAAGGAAGAAAGGAAATGTCAGCAAGATGTCTCAGAGACAATGAGTGGAAGAGTTTCAGAAAATCATGCCTGTATAACTCATCAGGGAGGGGGGTTCAATGCAGCATTGTGGGGGAGGGAGGAGAATATTATAAAAAAAGTGGAGTAGGAAGCAGTCAAAGTCTCCATAGGCCTTTCAAAGCGAAGGTGAGGAGCTCCAGCTCATACTCCGTTGCTTGCCAACTGTTTCAAGTCAGAATTTTTTATAAATGTCAATGTGCAGCACAGAAAAGCTTTCTCTGTCTCATGTATGACTCCATTTAGTGGGAAATACATTTCAGACTGAAATTTAGCCTGATGGAGGTCTGACCTGCCTGATGATGCTGTTTGTGTTTTCCAGGTGTACCGGTGGGATGACCACTCCAATCTAGTTCTGCAGAGCCTGAACGAGCAGAGGCACCGAGGCCTCTTCTGTGACATCGTCCTGGTGGTGGATGAGCAGCGAGTCCCTGCCCACCGGAACCTCCTGGCCGTGTGCAGCGACTACTTCAACTCCATGTTCACCATCGGCATGAGGGAGGCCCACCAGAAGGAGGTGGAGCTTTTTGGAGCCTCCTACATTGGCCTCAAGGCTGTGGTGGATTTCCTGTACGGCAGCGAGCTCTCTTTGGATGGAGGCAACATCGACTACGTGCTGGAGACGGCTCACCTGCTGCAGATCTGGAAGGTGGTGGACTTCTGCTGCGAGTACCTGGAGAACGAGGTCAGCGAGGAGAACTACCTGTACCTGCAGGAGCTGGCCTCCATCTACAACCTGAAGCGCCTTGACTCCTACATCGACTCCTTCATCCTGCAGAACTTCGGCACGCTGTCCTTCACCCCGGACTTCCTGCAGAACATCTCCTTGCAGAAGCTGTGCCAGTACCTGGACAGCAGCAACGTGCAGCAGGAGTGTGAGCACGACTTGCTGCAGGCTGCCCTGCAGTGGCTCACCCAGTACCCGGAGCGGGAGAACGAGGCCTACCAGGTCCTGGACAACATCCATTTTCCTTTGATCCCGAAGAGCGACCTCCTGCACCGCGTCAAGCCCGCCGTGTGCTCCCTGCTCCCCAAAGAAGCCAACTGCGAGGGGTTCATCGAGGAGGCCGTGAACTACCACAACAACGTGACGGCGCAGCCGGTGCTGCAGACCAAGCGCACGGCCCTGCGCACCTGCGAGGAGCGGCTGCTCTTCGTGGGCGGGGAGGTGTCGGAGCGCTGCCTGGAGCTCTGTGATGACACCTGCTTCCTGGACACCAGGAAGGGCCAGTGGGTGGCAGAAACCCCTCTCCCTGCCCGGAGGAGTCACCACTGTGTTGCCGTCTTGGGAGGCTTCATCTTCATAGCCGGGGGCAGCTTCTCGCGGGACAATGGAGGGGATGCGGCGTCAAATCTGCTTTATAGGTATGATCCCCGCTGTAACCAGTGGATAAAGGTGAGACTTAAGCTGTATTATTTCTCTGTTCAAAGTCCTTAATGTTTAGAGTGTTTTCTCCTTTTTTGGTGAAAGGACAGGGCTCGTTAGAATAGTCAACATGGCAGTGCTTGCCAGCGGAAATTGAAGTTATTTAAGTTGAGAAAGCAGCTACTTGAGTCCTTTGTGGGAATTCTTAAGTTACGCAAACAGCAAAAGAGTTTGGGGCAGATACTCAGCTTCACTTGGAATTTGGGCATCTCATCAGTGGAATTCCTGAATCAGCATCCACCTGCAGCTTCCTTCTGGGAATAATGCTGGAATGGACTTACAGGTGATTGCTTAGTTCATCTTTCTCAAGCAGCAGTAACATACAACTAAATAAAAAATGGGTCTGACGTAAAAAGAAAATGTCTCTGACACTTGTCAAGTGTCTCTGAGCTAAATGTCCCTTAGAACAAGCTCTTCACTTCCAGCCCTGCTGCAAAACCCTGCAGCTGTGTGGGTTCCTGTAGGAACCAGTCGTGGTTCCTGTAGGACTCAGTCATCCTGGGTGGCTCAGTTGTGGTTCTGAGTGAGTCCAACATGTTCCTTGCAGAGTTTGGGAAGGAGGTCCATGTAACACAACCATTTACAGAGTAACTTGTGTCTTAGATGCTTCCCGTTGTCCCCCTGTTGGAAAATGGATGCTGTGTAACAAGCTACTGCAGAAAAACAAGTATTTCATGAATATAATGGTCAAAACCAGTGGCTCTCCTTTCCAAATAAATGGGAAGAAGCAACTACCCTATCCTCAGACACGAATATACCTTAAGTCACTCGCTTCCCAGATGCTGGAAGATGTCAGTGTGTTGTTTGCTTTGCCAGGTTGCCTCCATGAGACAACGGCGAGTGGATTTCTACCTGGGAGCCATCACTGACATGCTGGTGGCTGTTGGTGGCAGGAATGAAAACGGGGCACTGTCTTCAGTTGAGACCTACAGCCCTCAGAAGGACTCCTGGACCTACATAGCAGGACTGCCCAGGTAACAGGGGTGTGTGGAGACATTCCCTGTGTCTGAAGAAGGATGGTAAAGGGAGGTTGTGTGAGCACTGTTCATATCTTGATCAAAGGTGTTTCTAATTTCTTTGGCCTTACTTTGTCACCTTGGTGTGATGGTTTTCCTTGTAAGGTGTTTCTCTGTGTTGGGCTGTTGCAGATAAACCACATTTACCTGTATTGCAAGTAGATAACCCTGGCAAATGTGAGCTCTCTCTCTCTCAGTTGAGTTAAAACTTGGCTGTTCTACTTTTGAGAGGCTTTAGCACTGCAGCTCTTCTGGTGACAGCAAACAGGACATTGCTGGTGTCTTGAATCAATGTTTGGGCAGTGGCTTTATAAGAACGGTCTGACAGTGTTTTGTTTGCAAACAGCTACTCAGATTTAGGGATATTTCACATTTGTGGGAATTACAGGAATATTGGCTCTATGGATGGTGTTTTCATGATGTCTGAAACCTGCAACTTCAGCAGCAGTGCTGGCTTTCCTAGTGGCATCACAAACCAGGTTCCTGCAGTTGGGTTTGAGAGTTCAGGGCCTTTTTTCCCTGGTTCCCTCAGCTGCAGAGCTGCAGAGCCAGAGGCAGCCAGTGAAGGCACAGAAGCCTGTTGCCCAGTTCTATTTTGGGCAGGTGCTGCAATGTGAGGCTGATCCAGGCTAACAGCTGGGCTCGAGGGCTCTTCACAGGCAGGGTGCTTTTCCTGCTTTATTTCTGCTCACATAGGCAGATCCAGCAGTTGAGGCTCAACACCACAGTGTGCAGGGGAGTATCTTCAGGTCCTAAATCCTTCTGTTAATTGGGGTCACCTGTGAGACATATCCTGTATGGATATTTTTACTCATAAATGATCCTGGTGATGATTGCACTGTTGGTTTAACCCACCCAGACTGCAAGCTGTCTGAAAAGTTTGTGTGTTCCTGCTGCTATCTGTGTGTTGGCTTTGGGAATTCTGCAGCTGCAGCACTTAAAGTGAACTTTGACACGTGGGTGTTAATTTTTTATTGGATTGCCTGGCTGGTCTGCTTGGATGAGGCAAAAATCCCCCTTAGGGGAGAGACCCTTCTTACTCTGGTTGTACAGTGACTGGGATAAGTTACTGCTGCATCCAAAATAAATTGTTCTGCATCCTCTCATGCTACTGCTCTGTCCTTGTGTCAGCTCAGGTGTTTGTGCAGGTGTGTAGTGAACTAGATAGTTTCCCACTTTTCCATGTAGCTGCTCTTCCACATTGATATGTCTTTAGTTAGATCTTAATGGACTCTTGTCACCTTTGGAATTTTGGTCTTTTCAGCCCTTTTTCTCCCTCTGGAGAACTCTCCTGCTGGGCAGTGTGTTGTTTGCAACCACTATTTTCCTGCACAGAAGGAATAAGGCAAAAAAGAACTTCATGCAGGGTGCAAATGGCAAAAATCAGCACAGAGGTGGGCAACGGGAACCTTTGTGACACACGACCACTGCTCCAGTTCAGCAAGGAGCGGCTCTGGCTGGTGTGGGGCTGCTGGAAGGGGTCTGGGCAGCCCTTTCGAAGGTACTTCAAGTGGACCTGTTGGACCAAGTCCAGAGGAGGCCACCAAGATGATCAGAGGGATGGAGCACTCCTCCTATGATGAAAGGCTGAGAGAATTGGGATGGTTCAGCCTGGAAAAGAGAAGGTTTTGGGATGACCTAATTGTGGCCTCCCAGTACCTGAAGGGGCCCACAAGAAAGATGGAGAGATGGTTTACAAGGGCCTGGAGTGACAGAACAAGGGGGACTGGCTTCAAACTGACAAGGAGTAGGTTTAGATTAGATATTAGAAAGAAATTCTTCCCTGTGAGGGTGGGGAGGCCCCGGCACAGGTTGCCCAGAGAAGCTGTGGCTGCCCCATCCCTGGAAATGTTCCAGGACAGGTTGAACGGGGCCAGGTTGAACCTGGTCTAGTGGAAGGTGTCCCTGACCATGGAACAAAATGAATTTTAAGGTCCCTTCTAACCCCAACCATTCTATGGTTCTATGGAAGAAGCATTCTGGCCACAGTTCCTGCCGTGTACTCCAGTCTTCCCTTCATCTGACTTCTGTTTTCCTCCTCACCTTATGCTTTTGTTCCTCAAACAGGTTTAAGTTCCTGTTTCACCCAAATAACATCTTCCCCAGCCCTATTCTAGCAGTAAGACTTTTAATGTTGAGGAAACCAGAAGCTCCAATCCTCTGCTTCCTGATAGACTGAGGCAACATGTCCCACCATATCTGCCTCATTTCCTGCATTTTTCTGTCTTCTTCCCTCTGAACAGAACACCTGCTGGTGTTTTGGTCCTCGTGGGTGTGTGGCCACCAGAAGCAGGCACTGCTGCACCTCTTGGTGTTCCTGACTGCTCCAAGCCAGCAACTGCCTGGAAGACTCTTCCCTGGAGTGACAGGCACGTGCTGAGGTCATTCTGGAGCGTGAGCTTGTGTAGTTTGACTCGAGCTGTTTGGGGTGGGACTCTCCGAGGTTGTTTGTTAAAGCTTCTACTCTGAGCATCCAGAAAATGGGTTTATTGTTTTTTCTTTCCATGTGTGTGGAGATTTTCAGGGGAAAGGCAGTGCTTGTGTCCTTGAACACACATGCCTCTTACCACTGCCAAATCCCGTGTCCATGTTGCTGCCCCCGGTCACGCTCCTCTGAGGAAGAGCTCTGCAAGCTCTTTTTTATCTCCTCTTCCCCCCACCTCCTTCCCACCCTACATGGTCAAAACAACATGTTGTTTTCCCTAACCACTTTCTTGGAAGGAGCTGAGCTGTTTTGACTGAACTAACGCTGCCTTACTGGAGGAGAAAACAGCCTCTCGGGGCAGATGCTTAAGTGGAAAACTTCAGCCAAGATGTCTAAAGGGTGGACCTGGTCCAAGTCTGCTACAACTGAATTTATTTTGCCTTGATGCTCATTAGGGTCCTTGGGTGTGGGATGCCTTTCCCTTTCTTCAGAGAGTC